TAAGATGAACCAATAAAATAAATTTTATATTAATTTTTAGTCATAGTACCGTAATTTACAGGAAACTGTAAATTTAATTTCTTTGACGACACTAAAAAAAAGTTTATTTTTAGCTTTATTCTAAAACAATAAGAAATAGACCTATCTAACCACATATTTTTATAATCAGAAAAAAATAACGAATTTAATAAGCGAATAAGCAGTGGTTGTTTCCATTTAAAAAACGAAAATTGTCATAATATCCCAAAATCTAAAACCAAAATTTTTTTTTTGACTACGTCATCAAATTCTCTGTTAAAAAGTGTCCATATAATGTCTCAGTTATAATACTCCACCTATAATAATAATCAAGATAATTGCACTTGCTGGTTTTACGATATTTTCAATTTTGGCCTCTAGGGGAAAAACAAAAGATGAGAGCGCTTTGAGGCTTTTGGCATCAGCAGTTTCTCAAAAAACGAGATCATGACATGTAAGCTACTTTTCTTCTATCTCTTATAGTTTCCGAGATAGCCCATTCGGACATCGAATTTGAACCACCCTATACACGTTGGGTGACCAATATTATTGTGTTAGCTCAAGGTTATCGCTATACAGGGTGTTAATGAACTACGTGCAGATATATTAGAGGGCGGTAGTACTCGACAAAATAGGAGAAAAATACAAATAAACATTGATACGTCACTAAAGTGTGGTAAAGTTTCATTTTTTTTTTTTTTAATTTTACATTTGTCTCGGGTGTTCTTTTTAGATAATTATTTCAAATTTGATATACACCTAATGATTATGAATCTCTACAGTAAAATGACAAAATTGTCAGCCACACCCCGGGTGTCCCATTTTTTCGTGTTCCTGAGTCTTATACCATCTACAAGTTTTCCTTTGAACACTTTGTATAAATTTTGATTGGAGTTTAAATACGATTTAAGCTCCCCATGCTTTTCTTCAACTTTTTGGTCTGATGCGTTATTTCCGTATCTGCCACAGTTTTCAAGATACCTTAGGTAAATGTAACCAGGAACACGAAAAATGCAATCATTATTATAACCTTTAACTATAATTATTTTTTCAAACATTTTATTCTCTTTAATTCAGCAGTTACCATATAGTTTATACATCATACATCGTCGTGAAGAGAATATTTTCGGCTATAATTTAAGATATAAACCGTTTCTTCATTCCTAGAAATAAATGAGAAGCTATTTTTTAAAGTTTACATTGAAAAGGACAACATCAACCAAAACACTTTTTTCAGCACTATTTCTAAAAATTGTGAAAATTAGACATCAATCATTATTAACCGTTACCTACAATTTTTTTTGAAACATGTGTAAAAACTATAATAAGTAAAACTATAACATGGAACTAAAGTGTACTTTTTCTTTCATACTATATGCAACACTATACACAACAACACCATAGTTGTTGTTTTAATGCTCTATATGCTATAAGAAATTTTGTGTATCTGGTTTCAGATTTGCATGGTTTAATATTAGCAATATCAAAACTTGAAATAAGATTGTTGTGATATCTGATAAATCACAACCTTCATTTCTTACTTGCTATATTCTTATGATATTGTGCCATCTGGACCCCACCTTACATATTTGATTTATACATTGTAATTAAGTTTGTTTAATTCAATAAAAGGCATTATATTGCTTATGTTATGACATCTTGTATAATTTTAACTTCCATTTCTAATGTACCCACTTACGACCTCCACATTTTGTGTTATCTTCGGAATTATATTACTAAACGTTGTTCTCTATTAACAGCCTGGGTAACCACTCGAAATGTTGTAATGCATGACAATAATTTTGAATCAACATGTACCTACTTAAAAATGAATAATCATGTCTTTAGATAATACAGGTGTGGTGGTTCTTGCGGTGTGGAGTTCATATATCATGTGCTTTCGCGAAATGACAGGTTTGGATGAAAAATTGCTCGGCTATAATAATTTTCATAAGACCGCGACCGAAGACACCGCATTAAGGTGTAAAGAATGCTTGCCGTATTTTACGCGCTCGGTGGTCCCAATCATAAATCCGGGGCGACGCCGGAACGAATAGTTCCGATAAGTCTCGCAAGGGGGCCCTCGCCCGTAAATTTATCGTCCCGGTTTTTGCCGGATCTGTCCAGCGGCCGAACCCCACTGCGTGTACGTACAAGCAATCCCTGAAAAGATTGCCTTCGGGGACAACTACAAGAATTATTGTGGTTTAAAAACGTCGCGGAAAAAAACGAACTTTCCAAATACCGACCCAATTGCAAAAACTGTATATATATGTATTCACTTAAACCCCCGCAAAAACTTTTTAGATACCTACATAAATTTGTTTAAAAATTGGTGATTTTTTTGGTTCTTATAATAATCATGATTTGCAATAAAACCAAATTGAATAAATTTGGCGTAGTGAGAAGTTTTACAATATGCAAGTCGCTCAGCAAAATTGAAACAGACCGCCGACTCCGTCTGCCCGTCATTTTATTTCGTCCTCGATATATACGACATTTACATGTAAATGCACAGTCGCTGTCTCTACTCTGATACCTTTTAAATAATTTGGGAGACGGCTAGGGGAAATTTCGCATACCGTTTGTTCCGGGCGCAACTTCAAAAGACGTTCTCACTCACGAGAGATTGTATATCAAGACTTGAATCTTTTATTAGCATTTTGTGCGCGAAATAACGTAAATCGGCGTCGTATGCCAATAAAAATTATATTGTGATAAAGTAATGTTGAAACTTTCCCAGAACCTGTCAAGCTTCCAGCCCAGTATCAAATTCCGAAAATTCATTAGAGTTTTAATATAAAACTCCCGCTCATTTGGATGCAAAGTAATGTCGCCTGACCGAGCTTGGCGTCCTTCTGCATTATGCATTAAGCCCCCACTAATCCGCAATTAAAGATTCCCGGCAACCCGTTCCGTGACCCCCTGAGGGAGTCCAACGATGGCGTCCGCTCTGTTCGTTTTTCGTTTTGCCACTCCGTTACGATCGCGAAAACATCCCGCGGGACTCTAGCCGCGATAACGACGGGAAAAACCATCCAGAGGGGGCGGCATAACCACTAGCGGGACCGAGGGCGAAACGGCGAGAATACACTTCAATTTAGTTGATTGCCCCACTCATTAAGTGGGGCGGAATTAAACGGGAACGCGACGGGCGGACCCCTTTCGCTGCTCTCTCTCCCGTGGATTTCGCCTTTGTCGCCTGGCTTTTGTATGGTCACGCCGCATACCCTGTTTGGTTGGATTTCTTTTCTCTCTTTACCCTTCTTTTCTTTATTGTTCTGTATTCAACATTCAAAGACGTCAGTAGTAATATTAATAGCCCAAGATAATTTGTATTAGCAGAGTTCTTGATAACGAGTGATTATTGGTACTAAGTCAGTAAATCCCCCAGAGATTAACCAACCAACTGATACGAACTGTCCAATAGTAACGATATCTCTTTAGATAAACAACAAATACAAACGAATCTAAAATAACAATTATTTTTTATTATAGGATGGAGCAAACCAAAATCTCAAAGAGATAGCGACGATGGAACAGGATTTGAAGGCGAAAACGACTTGGAACCTTTAGTGATAGACAGAGGTCCATTTTTCGAGAAAACAGCTTCGAAAAATGTAACCGCCCTCGTTGGAAAGACGACATATTTGAACTGTCGTGTAAGAAATCTTGGGAATAGAACGGTAAGTAATTTGATGAGTTCCGGACCTCATTAAAACTTTTAAATCGCTAAGCAGATAGTTGGTCATCCGACTTGAATTCGTTCTCGAACAAATTTTAGATTCAATCGGTTGCGGCTCGAGCTTCACCGGGGTTTTACTGTTTTGTTCTCGATGCCCTTTCAAAATCGAGTTATCAAGTTTGCAACTTTTAGTTGCAAGTCGGATTTTAAATGAGCTGTTAAAGTCGTCGACTAAAGAGAGCCGAATAATTTCGATTAAAAACGAATTCGTGTTTGTTCATTAATATCATTCTCTTCAAATAAGAAATTGCAATAAAAAAATGTTAAAATGTCCGAAAGCCAATTATTGGAAATCATGACAAATATTCAATTTGAAAAGCGACCTCGATTCCCTAATGAACATGACTAATACGGCAATTAATTCACTAACACCCAATTACATTTATTGCTAAACCATTATCGACGATCTACCCGTACAATTATCGTCAACACACAAGGGTTGGGAGAAATTTTGAAATTTCGAAATTTCAATACTCATTCTCGTTACGCAAACGTTCATTAGGCTCTGGACTAACAACAGAGCGTAAATTTTTGGCTGTGTTATAGGCGATATTCAGTTTGGCCTTTAGGGATGTAACGATACCCTTGTGTAGTGACCTATAACGTTCATCGGCGTAGTTAGTGCCAGTATCTATCCGCTTGGTTATTGTCAATTTTAATGTTCGAAATTGTAAATAACGTCGGCTTGTAATCGGTTTATACGACTGACGTGCAAAAAATACAAATCCGGATGTTACCAAAAACTCACATTTGATTAAATAGCCTAAACAAGTAAATAATCGATATCCTATTAATCTTTAAAAAATTAATAAAAATAGGTTATAAATAATTAATACTGAGGTGATCATTCTTTTTTTATTGTCTATACCAGGTTTCGGGACCCTGCCCTTCTTCGGTAGACCCTACAAAGTACAATAGACCTATTAGATATTATTAACAATATTAAATTAACACTAATTGATCTTGTTTAGACTTACAAACGTTAAAACTTAAGATGAACTAAATAAAAATTGAGTTGCACGTGCGGAGAAGAAATTTGTTAGAAATACTATTAATTTTAAACCAAAACATACGATCATAAACCGTAATCAAATACCAACTTTGATTAACAAAATAAAACTACCTAATAAGTTTAAAATGATTTCATTTGATGTCAGTAACTTGTACACCAATGTACCCATAGACGAAACTCTGAAAATTTTGAAAGAGAATATTAAGACCGAACTTAAAGACGAAAACAAGACTAATTCCATTTGCAACATCTTTAAACATTGCTTAGAACAGAACTTCTGTACATTCAACAATAAATTCTACCAATATACGGATGGTTTGCCAATGGGTTCCCCACTCAGTGGGATAATGGCGACTTATTTATGGACAACATAGAAAATAAACTTATTATGAACGACATTAACCCATACAAAAATGAAATCATTACCTGGATCAGATATGTGGACGACATATTGGTTTTCGTCAAAGATGAACAAATAATTAATAATCTCCATGAATCTCTAGAAACGGAAATAGAAAATAGAATAAACTTTCTTGACTTCACAATTCAACGTTTGGGCAACGAAATTAAATACACAATATTTAGAAAACCTACACAGACCAATGCAATTATCCCTTTCGACTCCTACCATGACAGCACCCATAAGATGGCAGCCCTCAGGACCTACCTACATAGAGCATTTAACTCCAATTTAGAACAACAGGATTTAGAGAGAGAAATCTTAATCATCCAACAAATTGCCAGTGAAAACTCCTTTCCACAACACATCATACAGAGACTAATCTCAAGATATCGAAACAAGGTAGAGATAGAACGCTTAACTACATTGCATAACAAAACGAAGAATGGAGAAATTACCTACAGGTCAATTACATATCCGGGAACAATCTCACACAGAATTAGGAAAATATTCCATGAAAACGACATTACCATCTCATTTAAAAATAAAAATACATTAAAAAATATTTTAGTCAACAATAAAGATAAAACGGACATTTTGGCAAAAAGTGGTGTTTACCAACTTCAATGCGGGACCTGCTCCGCAACGTACATTGGAGAAACTGGCAGGAATTTACAAACACGGATAAAAGAACACAAAACCAACTCCAAGTCGAATTTTGGTAGACATTTGACCTTCAACAATCACGACTTTGACGAAACGAAACATGTTAAGCTACTACACCACTTAACAAAAAGCAACCTTATGGAATACATGGAGACATATGAGATAAATAGATTCNCGCACTATCTTTTTACTTTTAACGTGTTTTTGAGTCATTTAACATTGATTTAAAAAAAAATCGTCGATTTTTAAGCCACATGATGATTCTGGAATTTTTCCCAAGTTTCTTAATAATCCTTTTGTTAAAAAGTGTGTGCTTAAATTTTAACATGTAAACTTGTAACACTTCGTTCTTAATTTCATTTTACACCTTTTTAAACTTTAATTTTGTAAATTAGTAACTAATAATCTGATTTCGACTTTGATATGTGAACTTTTTTAACAAAGCAAAAATAAATATTAAAAAACTTGTTTGTAAAATGGATAAGATGAGAGATATTAATCTATTTGTAGAGTCTCTGAGGTACAAAAATTTTACGTCATCATAAAGAGAAAATAAATCTCTATCAAATAAGCCTAATAAAAGGGTACATTGCCATTTAAAAAAATTAAATGTTATTCGTAGCTCATTTGTTTTCTGAAATAAAAACAATTGAATGGTGTCTTATTATGGCAAATAAAATACTAACCAACTTTTGTACAAAATGTTTTTTTATAAAGTTGATACTTGCCAAGATATATACAATATTCCATACATAATGGGCACCCTGTATTTTAAATTGAAGCTCAAAATAATGACTTAATTTTAACGAAATCAATTTTAAAGTAATTGTTACAATTTGGCTGTACTTAAAAGAAATAGTGAAAGATTTAAAAAATCTAACTTTACTAAGGAGAATTTTGATGCAATATACAGTGAATTTCACGTAAGACGCAAAATACAAAAATATATTTCCATAGCAACTTCGGCGTACCTGCTTACTTTGTCACATATAAAATGTAACATGTCAATATAATTTGACATTACAGGAAATCCTCGATATAACGGAGAACGCAGTGTCCGTACTAAGAGCTTAACGCTAGCACTAGAACTAACACTAGACACAGAACTAGAAACATTTCGTTTAGCCGTACCTCTCTTAAGATGGCTGGTTTAACCGTGCGTCTTCAGACACACAACCAAACTCAATACCTTCTAGTTCTAGGTCCAGTGCTAGTTCTAATTTTACACTAGCACGATCAGTAGAATTAACACAAGTCCTAGAACTAGAATAGAGGACACTTCGAAATCCTCAAGGACCCATGTCTAAATCAATTGATTGAAATTAAAACGGACAGAATACAATTTCAACCACTCATATAAAGTTATATTTAGAAGCAGGGATGATTGGGCGAAGGGTGGGCCTCAACTAAGAAGAGGTGCCCTAGCTTGGTACACTGATGCTTCAAAGACAGTTAGATCCGGAGTAGGCATGGGCATCAGTGGACCAAATAGCCATATTAAACTGCCCCTCAGCTCGGACATATTTTTCATTTTTCTAGCAGAACTTCTTGCTATAAACTTCTGCACCGCTTTGAACCTACTAAAGGGACAGAAAAGTGCATCCATAAACATTTTCACAGACAATCGGGCCGCCCTAAAGGCCGCAAAATTCAGGCCTACACATGTGACTCCGCACTGATCAGAGAGTGTACCAGCAACCTGAGAAAACTCGCAAGGGGCAATGATGTTACTCTATGGTGGGTTCCAGGTCACAGCAACATTGAGGGCAATGAGAAGGCGAATAAGCTGGCCAGAAATGCAGCGAATACGCCCTTTATTGGACCTTAACACGGTTATAAACTATAAAAAAACCACCTGAAACAAATAATCAACAGTTGAGTGGTTTCAGAGGTAGCCTTACGCTGGAAAGAGCTTCACAGACAAGCGGAGAGTATGATAACTCCGTCGCAAAACAAAAGCAAAGAAGTTAGTTCTAGTTTTAGTTGTTATTCAGCGTTAGATTGTGACATATTTTTATTGAACAAAAAGTAGAACTAACACTAGACCGAGAACCAGAAATATTCGGGTTTAGTCGTGCGTCTCTTAAGACGACCGTAAACTCAGGGTTATCATAAGGACGTCACTTTTTCCAAGTAAAATTTTTCCTTTGTAAGACTACCCAATGCCTGTACTATAAAGGTATGTTACATTTTATGTGGGACAGTGTAAGTGCACAGTAGTTTCATAACTATGGTTACTGCATTCATAAATTGCGGGGCGGGTTATATGAAATTCCCGGTATATCTCAAATGAAAGTTTAAAACGTCTATTTTGAGATAGAGTGTGGTTTCATTAATCATTTAATTTAAAAAAAAATATTTTTATATAATTATTGCATTTGAGTGCTGTTTGCACAAAAATATTAATAAAACTTTAATAAATTAAACAAACTTTATTTATGGGAGTTTTAAAACAAATGAAATTCAAATTAAAGCTCAAAACATTCTACTTTAAGACACAGTATAATTTCATAGGGGTTAACAAGTTAATTTTGACGAAATCATTTGGATATATTTAAAAGAAAAAGTGAAAGTAAAAGTAAAAGTCGAACCCGTGCGACGATAGCAACAAACCTCCCAGGAACAAACTTTTCCCGTAATTTCCTATCTACTTTCTTAGCTGATATGTTCCTTATTATTAGAGACAACGAAAAACTAAATGCACCACTTGAAAGCTTGAATCTTTTTCTATCTAAATTTTCGTATGCCGATAAATTGATATTAAGATCAATAAAAAAAGAAGAACACCGCTATGTACTCTACCCGTTCTTAAAATTTTGGCGATGGTGGATTCTATGTTCATCGTTCAATATGAATATTAATA